CAAAAGAATCCGATAGTATTGCGATTATTGAGTTCTGGGAAACGATAAGTAGAATCCGATTCACTCTACAATTGCTAGGTTATAAAATTCACTACAACCTCATGTTTCCAAGGCATGGCAAACTAAAGTTAAATTTTCACTGTAAACAGAGTGTATTGATCTGTTTCATTTTGGCTAATTTTTATTCGAAATAAAGATGTCGAAAAAATCAATTTACGGAAAGTGTGGAACAAGAGAAATCGCGATACATCAAAAACTTTCTCTTTTTTCTCATTATCAATGGTGATAGAAATTTTCAATTGTAAGAGTTTTTGCACAAACTGCATCAAAGAATATTGATATCTTCATTGGCTATAGAATAGGAGTGGTGATTTAGTCTTACTTTACTAAATAAAGATAAATGAATCCTTTATCTTTAGAAAATACAGATAAGCAAATCATTGATCTTTGTTCCTTAGTATAAAGGAAAGTAAAAATAAAGGGTCACCCCTATTTTAGAGCAGTTTCTAACGTGTCAATCAGATTGGTGTCGCTGCTTCCAGTAGCCAGGCAAGTTTTCTAGGTGTTCTGACTTGGAGAATCAGATTCACTTCATTGACTTTGAAAAGATTAAGAATCGTTCTGAGCCCAATCAGTTGAAAACTACTTGGAAAACTCATTATGTGCCAGAAAATGATTAGATAATCTCGTTGATATGATACAAACTGTCAGAAAACTTGTTACTTTGTGCCTTGAGAGGTGAAAATGGGGCACTCAGAAACTCTGTTTGTTGTATATGTTTCAGGGAAAATTAAAATTCAGAGCAATTTAAAATTTCCCTGAAACTTCTCTAGGGGACTTTTAAATTGCTCTAGATTTTAATCTCCCCTCTAACATATACTTGAGACAAAATGTAAAAGGGCTTCAAATAATTTAACAAATTAATCATCCAAAACGATTACAACTTTTTATAGCTGATACGTGTGCTCTTACATTTAAACATTTCGAAAATGTGTTCATTTATTAGTATTATTCGAGCAAATTATTCAATTCATTTAATATTGTTAAACTTGAAAAGCTTATTCTAATGTGAGGTACAGTACATCGTCAATCTCTCGATTCTTTTGTTCTAATGATAATATGCACGACACATGTTGTATGAAGTGCACATATCATTTTATTCTTTCAATCGTCTGTTCAACTACCATATTAGTTTGATATATACATTGATTTGATCATTCATGGAGAATCTGGTACACTATTATATCTTTTGACGAATTGTGAGATATAATGTTGAGTTTTTTCTAAACTTGGAATTCAACTATTTCGTAATTTTACGTGCACATCCTACTCTCACTCTATTAGATGAATAATAGAATCGACCTACTGAATGATACCTGCAAGAACACTCTTTCTCTGCATTAAATAACAAAACCTGCCATTTCTAGACTACGTAGTTAGAGTGTACAGAGTTTCAGAATGATATAACCATCGTTAAAGTTTACACCCCTTTTCTCGTTACTATAGAAACCTACCAAATAATCTTTGACTTTCTCCTCCCCTTCTCACTCGCCATTGCTAGAACCAAGAAGTTGCAAAAATCCTCGATTTGAACTTACACACGTGTATGCTTCTGAAGAAAATATACACGGGCTTAACAAAATTTGCTTCTTTGTTGTAACATGATGAAATTAATTCTAATACTTGGTAAAAAACGACAAAAATCTTATTAACTGCTGCTAAGTGATGAAATGTGCTCGATCCAGCTTGATAAGAAGCATAGGCATGGATTTTTTTAGGTGTTTTATTGTATGTGATTCCAAGTGATTCCATGTGATTCCAAGTGATTCCATGTGATTCTGAGTGATTCTGAGTGATTCTGAGTGATTCTATTGATTCTGTGTGATTCTATTGATTCCGAGTGATTCTATTGATTCTGTGTGATTCTGAGTGATTCTATTGATTCTGAGTGATTCTATTGATTCTGAGTGATTCTATGACCACAGAATCAGCTTTTTCCCCCTTGAGTTAACTTCACACTCATGCTTGAGCCTCGATCTCATTCTATTCGGTTCTTTTCAATTATGAATAACTAACATTTAGTTATGGTAACAAAAAAAAGGTCAGGATTCTGCTCGTAACTAATCCATCTATCGAAAAGACAAATAATATTTTCTGTGTTTATGAATAACAATATTTAATCAACACAGAACGCAAAATTTAAAAAAGCTGTTCTGTATTTGTCTCATTTATTTGCATAGCATCAAATGATTAAAAGAAAAAACATCATCACTACATTGTATAGGAAAATTCTTTATCAAATTAGTCGATCAATCAAAAATTTCATTCTGATACGTAACAATAGATAGTAGTTTCCGAAAAGAATCTTTACAAATGCAGTCAAATTATAACTACAATATAATGCTGTTCGTTGCTTGTGTTCACTCTGTCATCGTTTGAAAATATAAAGCAAAATCAAACTTTTTCAGAAGCAAAGACCTCACGGGAACTCATAAGTAAATTGATTTCATTAGTAACTTTGAAATATTTCGACTTTAACCGTTCTTCAGAATTTGTTTTCATGGTGCGAATATCTTTTTCTATTTAGCAATCTAGAAGCTAGAGTTAATATGAACGTGATTGGAAAGGAAAACTCAGTGATTATAATTAAATGTACACACGAAAACAAAAAAGTCTTGAGTCTTGATCGAAATATTGATTATAATGATTCGAGAACGATAAAGCCATTTTTTTACAATCTAATGAGAATCCAAAAATTAACGAAGTGATGTTGGTAGCATTTGCACCACTTGCAGTGTTTCTATCGACCATTTCTTGCTACTCTTCGAATAAGAATGACGTCAATAGACCTAGTTTCTTCACAATGTTTATTTTTCGTTTGCAAAGTAAGTTCAGACGAATTTTTCTATTTCAAAATAAAATCAACATTACGATTCATTTTGCACTTGAGATAGTTTCGATACTCCAACGATCTCACCTTTACTTTTTGCTTAAATCAACAATACGCAAATCAATACAGAGATGATTTTTCCTCTTAATTGATAGACAACAGAGAAAACAAACATTGTCGCTCGTATTGATATCGTGTCATTTGCGCATTTGCTGTAACAGATTCAACATTCGTCAGTATTAAAATAATCTATCATGATGTTTTTGCTAGTTATCACTCTCTTCTTCTGTCCAATTTCTATCATTCAAGGTAAATATTAAAATACTCATTACTTATTCGATTCAAGAGTTTTCTTTAATAGGTCAAACATTAAAATATTCATCAAGCTGCACAGTAGATCTTTGCAATACTGTCTCCTCAGTAGGTAGCAGCTGTTCTTCATCGGTGACTTGCTATAAATTCAAGACATCGATCAATACAACATTATGTGCTCCTCAAGTGATCTGTTCTCTGTTTGATGCATGTGTTAGTGGTACAAGATGCGCATCAAATAACAGTGTTTGTGTTATCAATAGTTGCTGTTCAGCATCCATCTGCATGCCGTTAGCTCTTTCCAGTCAATGCAATTCACAAAATTTCACCAGTTCAGGTAGACTTTCTCTTGAAGAATTTGATTGTATGGATAACCTCTTGGTGAATTTAACTCTAGAAAAGACATTGCTCTTTTCTTGAGTACAGCTACTTCGATTGTTTGTTGGTAGACAGTCCAAAACTTTAAAAGTGTCCATGTCAAGAGTTTTAGGAAATATGTTGAATCATCGTATTCGATGTAATACTTATTTTCAGTTGGTTGATTGTTACGAGTTGCGAATTTCGCATATGGTCAGGTTTGAATGACGTCTTCATGTTATCTACGTAGTCTGAATAGAAGTAGCTATGTAATAAAATACTGAAGCATCTACATGCAATTTTAATTCATTAGGCTAGTGTTTTTTTTGCTCGATGACAGAGAGCTATTCAAAATTCATTGGATAAAACAAATAAAGCAAGAAACTTGAGTTGAACAAGTACTATTGACTCGCATAAGTCTTTATAGATGGTACTATTTCGAAAGGATATTATGTGCTAATATTCCAATTTTAACTCGTAGAATATGTTGTTTCATTCAAAACAAACTTGTACAAGAGCCATTGAGCTATCGCTCAGAGAAGTTAGCCGAATTAGATAGATAAAACATGATGAAACTATAACGATTTTCATCTCACACTAGGTTTAAGAACATAAAGTATGTAAGAATCTTTTTCAGAAACTCCTACAGGTTCACATTTCTTAATTGCAGTATGGGGTAGTAAATCCACCCAGGTTGTTATGCATAGTAGTCTTGCGAAAACAAAACACCATGCATAATCTTCTATCCCTGATGAAAAAAAAAGTGTTTTCGATTGACAAAAATCGAAGATATGCTGCTCTTATACTGACTTACAATATAAGTGTCAGTATCTTGACAAGGGTCACTGTGTTGTAACTTATGTGCACTGCATTTGTTGCTGCGAAGTACTGAGTTGAATCGACCATGTTCATAAAATTTGTCCTTTTGAAGAGTTACTTATTGGTGAATGCAAATTCAGCTTGATTTTGCGACAGACATGTCAAGCTCGGATATTATTTTCTCTTACTTGAAAAGAGTATATTAGAAATTAAATGAATAAATGTGAAAAAACCTTAGCTTTGTCTCTTTTCTACTTCAAATAGTTTCTACGTCGACTTCAATATGTTCAAATGCTACATGGGATCAGAATTCAACGACCATTATATCTTCGTATTGGAACAGTAGCTATCAGTTTTCAGTGGGTGATTTTGCCATCGATACAAATGACAATATCTATGTGGCCGAATACTACAGTAAACAGTTTTTCAAGTTTTCAGCGAACAGTTCCGTTGGTACGCCAGTGGCAGGACCTGGGAATTTCTCAAATTTCACCATAAGTCAACTATTTGTAGATTCAAATGGAGCAATCTATACATATGAAAGTCGAGTATGTAAATTATTGGATCTATTTTGGATGACAGCTATGTCTGAATTCACAATTGATTTTGTATTTAGTATTCGATGGTATATTGGACTAATTATTATCGTCTACAGAAGTATGATTCGAATAATTGGGTTATGGGTACGACAATCTTTGGCGAAAGTCAATGTGGCATGGGATTGAATGAATTTTGTGGATGTGCAGACATTTTTGTTGATCGTCAAGGTGCAATGTACTGCTGGGATTCTAACGCTCAACGTGTGATCAAAATTATATCAAACAATGCTTATGCTACTGTTGTTGCAGGTGTAACAAACACATCAGGATCACAATTGAACCAATTGAGTGATCCTCGAGGAATATTTGTCGATGCGAACTATACTTTATATGTTGCAGATGTGGGTAATAGGTATGGTATTTTAATGGATATTGTTTAGAAAAATCACATCAGACTATTTCTTGAGGGCAATCAAGAGTCTTGAGAGTTTTTATTTGATAAAACGACTTGATAGGTGTAGCTCGATAAGTTGACCTTTTCATTCTGTTTGTTGCCAAACCTCTTGTTCGTAATGACATTCTGAAATATTATCATTGGATAATAAGTTTTTGAAAAATTAAGATTTTCGTGTTAGTCGCAGTCTTTCTATTGAGCATGAACTAGTCAACGAAAGATGTTCACCATGATGAGAGGGTGAATGATCTCATAGGCATATGGTGGAAAACATCGTGCTTTATATTTTGTTCAAAGTGCAAATCGTCTTACATTTCAACAAAGCAATAGTGTTAAGCTCAAAGAGAAAACACTGAGACAACGATATCTCAGCATAACAAGCCTATAATATGAAGCATCATTTTGGCATTTTTGATCCCTGACTAAGGTTAATATTATTCAGAAAATTCGAACTGAAAACCTCGTTATTCGAGTAAATGAGTCTCTTGTCAATGTGACCTGTTTAGTATTTGACGATTGATTTTGAATGTTCAAAAGATTTATCATTTGTATTTTAGTCGTATCTTGGCCTTCTCACAAGAAAACCAATATGGTAGATATTTATTCTACTATGCATCTAGCATGTATTGGTGGGGTACTTTTGGCTTGACTGTTGACAATTCAGGAAATGTATACGTCTCTGGTTACGGCAACATTACTAGATGGTCACCTAGCACATCAAGCTTGACATCAATCATACCAGAAGCTTATTACTATTATGCGTCGAGAATACGGCTTGATAGCAAGGGTAATTTTTATACACGATCATATATGAGTGGTGCTATTGATAAGTATAACATTACCTCCAATACGTGTTAAAGTAACACGACTATTTTTACATTTGTGAAACATTGAAGTCTCATACAGTGTGTGATTTAGTTTTTTTGATATTCGTTTATTTATCATAAATAAAATGCTCCTTAACAAATTATCTTCAATCGAAAACTATTCCATGAATTGATGAACTCTTCAATATGAAAAAACGTTCAGCAGTGATTTCCTACATAACAATGTTGTTTTAGGCTTATTTGTCCATCAATGGAAGTCTCAAACTTTATCGGAAAGAAAAGAGAAAACTATGCATTTTGCAATCAAAAGAGTTGCTTGTTATTTATAATTTCCTAGCTTCATGTCTTGTGAGGCTTTGCTGATAGAATGTCTAAATGGCAGAAGAAAATGCATATGCAAAACACAAACTCTGGTCTTTGTGAAGAAAGTACTTGACATGTTTGTCATCTCTAAAATCTCTTTCTCATGAGTTTATAAAAAAAATAATTTAATTTTACGATGTAATGTTTCTTTGTTTAAAAAAACTGCTTTAGATAAAGGTTAAATGAATTTATTTATAATTCGAAAATATAATTGAAAGTGGTAAAGATATTGACTATTCAATCTTCTTCTTCAATCCGTGTTTGATAATTATTTCGAAACAAGACGACAATGGTAACAATGGAACAGGTTTTTGTGTTTCGCATCATTATTCAACATGAACTGAGAAAGATTGAATAGCCAACGTCATTATCTCTTTCAACTGTAAATTTTCAGTAAGAGTTTTGAAAATGTGACAAACATGTCAAATACCTTCCTTAAAAGATAAGAATATGTTACAAACAACAGTTTCAGAGGTAATTTGACCGACTCTAGGGAATCATGACAGCTATACACTAACAAAAGGTATTTCGAATTTCAAAATATCAACACCTGAGAAAAAGTCATGATTCAAACATCAGAAAACTTTCTATAGTGAATACTCATTTTCAAACTGAAGAATATGAGCTAGGTGAGCATCATCATTTTTGCATTCAGTTGTGCAAAATATGATAAATTATTGTTTATCTATTTTAAAAGAATTCATTACAAAATTGTATAATTATTAATTGAAAAAAGTTTTCCAATTTTCATTCATTTCGAAGGTCAAGTATTTTAAAATGATTATTCATTAACCGAAGTGTTTTATCTTCTGTTGAATGTTACATCAATCTAAACAATTGAAAGACTTTATCATTCTCATCATTCTGCGTTATGTTCATTCCCACTTTAAAATCAACATGTTTTACGTGTAGCTTTTTTTTTGTTTTTCAATACTTTTTTGAAATAGGTAAATGTTGTTGCTAAACTATTGACGGCTGGTATGAATTACATAAACTAATTCAAGAAAAATGGTTTCTTTTTAGTCAAAGAATAATATCTTCCTTGCTTTTCTTTGAATCGTCAGAAAAATAAATTCCATTCACCATATTTGATACGTTTTCATCAGACTTAAACAATGGTTCAAGAATGCGTCTCTAGAGTCCATATAGGACGAATGTCGATTGATTAATCTTTGGTGTTAAAAAGGAAATGTTTGATGAAAGTTTCTCTTCGAATGCATTACACAAATTTAGTATTTTTTTTATTATTACTTCAATTGACTTAGTAGAATGTGAACCGATAAACAAGCAAATATTTCAAGAAATTCTATAGTTAAATCAACTACGTAGAATAAGTTTCTAACGCATATACTATCGTATCATTACTGCTTAAAGTGCAATTTTTGTGTGTACAAGTCATTATACTAAAACGAAAAAAAAATAGAATGTGACCAAAAAAAAATACAATTAATCTATAAACTAGAACAATATTGGAGTATTTTATTGAAATTAAAAATTATAGATTGACTTGAAAATTTGTTATTGCTGCGATTTAATGGTCATATATTTAAGATCAATCAGCAAATTATTTTATGCAAGATCTCCAAATTTAATATTATTCTTTTTAAATGGCTTTCAATTCCTAAAAAAACTTATAAATTTTCTTCAAATCACTCATATAAATCCTTATCTTTTAGTCAAAAGTAATGTCACATAATTATGTATTATTGATTACTATAGAACAGACAAAATAAAACAGAGTATTGAAAAAAAAATCTAAAACCAAATGAATCAAAAAAAGATGAGAATACAGAACTGGTCTTATGTATTCATAATTTTAAGTTATATTTAATTTTAATTGTTGAAATCTCATTACATCTAAGACGCTGTACTGTTCGCTAGTACATTTATTGTAAATCAAGTTTGTCTTAGTAAGACCCGACCGAAAAAAAAAAAGAAAGAATCTGAAGTTTAATGCATATTTGTCTTCGAATTATAACCTGTCTTAAAGATGATATGTAAACTATTTATATTTTATATTGGTAAACTGTTTTTATCTGTCATTCATCATACCACATAAACAATTGAGAAGTGAAATACTATCATATTCAAGAAATCTAATCACTTTTTTAAGTACAGAATAAATTATGAGATTCGTTGTACTTATCATCATACAGAACAATGAATAATGATAGATGATGCTTGCCTTTCCGTACTATACTAATAATTCTGCCCATTCATCTATTTTCTCATGTGCAAGATAAAATACTTTCATAACCCTAGAGAATATCTGAATGTTGACGAAGAAAGACTTCAATCGAATTTCAAACGATTGACGATGATGCTTCATGAAAAGAGCATACTGATCAAGATTACGATATATAATATCAACATTGCTATAATTGATGTTAAGTACTACCAGTATATCGATCGGTATAATGTACGCTATAACGAAGGTTTACCTATAGTATTTTTTCCAAGTGTTGTTTGATGATATATTGCCTGAAAGCGAGTGAATATTTTTTTTAAACATGTTGAAACTGACAGAGTTGAATCCATTTTGATATACACTTTTGATGTTCACAAATCTGAACGATCTTTATTATTTAACCAAATGCAAAAGCTTAAAATATGCGTGTAGTTGGTATCAAAATATTGCATGTACATGTACGTGGTATTTTAATATAGCATGCATGTAAATGCATTATAGGGTAAATGATATTCGCGATTACACGTAATTAAAATATGTGCATCCGCATGCAAGAAAGCACGAAGCGTTTTTTAAAGAATTCTCATATGCGCATGCAAGAAAATTCAGGATGGAGCGAAAAACGAAGCGAGTGTAGCAATCATATATGAGAACACAGTACTGTTTTCTTAAAGATAAGAATCGAATACACATGCTTTCTTTTATAGGATAAATTACATCGCTATTCGACTATTGACTTGTATTAGATGTGTAAATAAAATTGCAGAATATTATTATAGTCAATGAACTATTAGAAACATGCATACATGAACGCTAATAAATGTGTAGAGTTTAAAAGACTGGATAAGATTTTTCAGTTAATATGATTTAGTTATTATGTATACTGAAGAATAGTTGAAACTTGCATGTCGATATAGAATCCCTTTGGTAAAAGTTTTCGTAAATAGAAACTTTTCGCATTGACATGAAGCATTTACTAAAGATCTAATCATTCTGCAGGTACATCTGAACAACAAATTTTGCCATTTAGATGTGAATTATGTCTTGTATGAGCAAGCAAGAATATTAAATGTGAGTATTTGCAAGAATAATAGTCATGCATGATCTAGCATATTGTGACTAAAAAGTTAAATGATTATGATTGCATGCAGGTACTACTGTTATGAAGTTATATTCAACAATTGCTGGTATCTCAGATAGCTTACATGTTTGTGTATTAGATCTACAAGTTAGAAAAGTATTTTGCAAGTTAACGCGCGTTCCTGGAAGTTTTCTGCAAATACAAGTGTTTTGAAAGTTTCATGTTTGACTCGGTAACTATAGACACCAAATGCGCCCCAGTTAAGGAATGAATTTTTATTACAAATCACGCTGCAACAAATTATATTAGTATAATATGCCGTGCAGTTGTTTATTTCTCGATTAATATAAATTCTTTATAATAACTAATTCGAATTCAGATAGAAAACAGTCTCCCCAATCGTTTATGTGTGGAATCGATAGTTATGAGCATCATCATCGGTTCTTATAGGTACCGCGGTATACCAATGGCAGTGTCAACAAAGGTGCGCTATGAATACTAGCTATACTTGGCTGTTTAGTAAGTAAATATGTTACTTGAATAGCTAGTGATTTTTCACACAAGCTCAACGCTTCTCGAGTATTTCGTATGATTCATCTAAATAATTATAATGTTATTATAGAAATAATTCAAACATAAATCATCGTCTCTTTTTCCTTGTGTGTGTGAGATGTGGACGTAATGTGAGTGTGTATGGGGATTTTTGAACAGACTATCCAAACAAATAACCACGTCCCACACCCATAACCAGTGCTCATCACCACATCAAACATCCATACCTACACCGACCCACACCTCGCCAAACCTCAAAAACAAAATTTAAAATCAAGCGTAATCTGTTCCTTTCATGGAAATATCGAATTAAATTTAAGATGTCTTCGTGTTTTTTTTTGACGTTGATGTCCGATATGAGCCCATGCCGAAGCTAACAGATTCTCTCAAAGTGATAAAACTACTATCGAATGGTTATTAATTCCTTATATTATTTGTTGCGAACAGAGAAAAACAGAATCCACTTTTATCAATAATACTCCTATTTTACCTTGAATAAACAGAACAACGAAATTCAATTTTTTGCAACGTCATTAAACAAATCATCGATATGATGAAAGTGAAAGTAAACAATAAATCATCACTTCTTCTTACCCACCGACGCAATTATTTTTCTTTTCAGATATTCAACTGAGAATATCTTATTCTAAGTTGACTTAGCGTTAATATATATGAGCTGCAATGTTCTGACATTCAGCTCTTTTCAAAGATAAT